CTTGTGCACGCCTAGTGTCCTGGAAACTCGAGCATGAATGCCTTCATGTGCCTATGATTGTTCTCGAACACATATGCTGGGATAACGATATGCAGTGACACCTTTTTACTGTTAGATGCACTCAGTACACGACAACTGCTCCTGAGCCACCACATAATTGGGCGCATGTTGGTTGCGCGCAATGAGGAACGCTGCAAAAATCTGCTGCTCCAGTGTAAACAATTGTGCTTGAGCTAGAGTCTGAGACTTCATCGAGAGTCCAGTCGATGTCCGTAGTACTCATTGCATGCTTGGCCTTCATGAATTTGTTCAAAGAAGCAACGCTCAGCTTCCTGGACACCAGCGTATGCATCCAAGAACACAGACGGGTCTCTGTAGCATGAGTACTCGTAGTACGATGATCCTGTCTGAAAGGCGATGAAGAACGCATGAGAGTTTTTATGGCCCCATTCATGACATCTGGCCTGTGGTCCTTGTGTTTGCTTCTTGTCAGCTTTAAAGTAGACGGACTCAAATTTGTGCTCCATGTTGTTGAAGTGCGTCGATATTTTTGCTAGCTCTTACAGGAAGTGTTAGATGATACGTTCTACCTATAACCAGACAGCCTTTCAATTTGAATTCAAGGGCGGATAGTTTATGGTGGAGCTGTGAAGTAACAATGGTGAGGACGGAGGAGGAATAAGAAGAAGCTTTTTTGGTATATTAGATGCCGTTATATCGACTAAGAGCGTGCTACTGTAGTGGCTACGACGGGCTGTATGGGAGGATCGATGACGGAGGTGCTTGCAGAGTGTGAATTCTGAGGCGAGAGCGAGGTGCGAGCAGTGTAGAAAAATGTAGCAAGAAAAACAATGCAAAGGCGAGTGAGAAGAGACTGAGAGAACGAGAGCGAGAGAGAGGTGCGAGCAGTGTAAAATGTAGCAAAAATAACAATGCAAAGGCGAATGAGAAAAAGAGAGAAGCCGAGAGAGAGGTAGAACGAGAAGAGGTGAATGCGAGAGCGATGGCATGAGGGAAGGAGAGCAGGGAAAGAAACAAGAAACAACGAGATGGAGCGCAGTTTGCTTTTTTTCTCTCGAGCTTGACCGTGATTGGCATTTCTGGACGCGTCACCGCCAACAACGGGAATTCTTTTTTTTTTTTTGACGCTGCGCACCGTACTCTTGGGCATCTTCGCTCTTTCTACTCTTACTCCTCCATCCGTACACACACCACATTCTCTATTCGCACACCACATTCACAGGCGCACCACTTCTCCATTCACACACAACTTTTCTCCGTTACCAACAAGCACCCATCTATGGCAGCGAACACACTCACCCTCTTCTGTGTCATCAGCGGCGAGCTCCCATCGAGAGCATTTCCTGTAGAGTTATCTCCTGACAAAGCTGTTGGTGTACTCAAGGAAGCCATCATCGAAAAGAACCCGAATGCGTTTGAACACATCGACGCCAAGGACTTGGTGCTCTGGCGAGCTACAATCTCCATTGATGAGAATGCAGGGAACGAGAGCATCATCACGCTCGATGGTCTGGATGACAAGACGAAGCTAGGCAACCCAAGGACATGCCTTTCCAAGCTGTTCCCTGAGAGCCCAGACGACACCACATACATCATTGTCGAGCGGCCATTGGCAGGTATGAAAATTTAATTGTGCGAGGACGCTATCAACTCGGAAGATATGTACTAATGCTATTTATTTTGTTTACCATCTGCTGTGCTGAATAGGCGTAGACCCCGAAGTTGCTGTATTGCGCAAACAGCTGTCCGACATGCTCGATGGATTAATAAGTATGTGATTACGTGGCAGAATGACACGTCCATTCCTTCCTTCCTTCCTTACTAACAATGATGCTGACGGATGTCTTAATGTTACAGGTGTCGGAATTGTAGTTAAACCTGAGAGAAAGGCCGTATGCAACTGGTCGGCCATGGTTGATACGGTGACTGTGCGTGACTTGAAGGAGGTCCTTGCTCGACATTATCCTCAGTACGATCACGACGACTACGTGGAAATACATTTCTACAAAACATACATCGGCGCGTCGGAAACCATACGCGATGACGAGGACTTGCGCAGAATACTCAGAGTCGCCAAAATACAATCCATGAAAAAAATGATCATTTCACTGGATACTCCAACTAAGGGCTTTTCTACATGGACGTTCAAGGATGTTTGTATTGAATACAACCTCTCGGAATCTCCCGATCCCCAGGTGCCCGTTGTACTTCCGCCGTTTACAGGGATTAAGGCTGCACTGCTGCACTCGAACTTTCAGAAGACGATACTGGAACAGCTTCTCCATGAGATCGAATCAAGGGCACAAGTGATGAGACTGACATTGCCAAGTGAGGCCACAAAGTCAATTATAGTCACATCATTTCTGGTTGCGGCGACAAGACTATTTGAGGAAGACTTGTACCTTGCTACCCAACGAAATCTCAGCGGGCGCCGAGGAAATGGACCAGTGGACTTTTCGGTGCATTCGCGATGCACTCATGAGTACACTCTTGGCGTTACAGAGGTGAAGAAGGAAGATTTTAACCAGGGCGTGGCTCAGAACATTGTGCAGCTGGAATCGGCGTTGACGCTGAAGAAGCGCAAGCGTGAGAGGTACGAGATTGATGGGGAGGAAGAGCCGCCAAGGAAGTTGAAATCGTATGGGATTGTCACGGATGCCAGCCAGTGGATGTTTATTGAATGTACAATGCATGAAGATGACGCAGTGGTGTACAGGATGACGGAGCTTGAGCGAACTCTAAATTACCACGGCAAATGGCAGGATGATGCCAAATTTGTTTTCGAAAGGCTTGTATGGCTTTGGTCCAAGATGCGGGATGAGATTTCTGCACGCGAAGAGGAAGACAACTCCAGGAAGGCGAGTTCTCTACCCAGCGACAGGAAGACCGATTTGTGAACGTTCACCACAAAGATTGCTACAACAGACTGTGCATGCACCACCACATCTATTGCATTCACCCACACAACGCACTGCAACGGATTGTGTCTCCAACAAATCCACCATGCATCCACAACTACGTTTCCAGCACCACGCCTCCTCTATGCCACCTGAAAATTAGCACTTACAAAATACCTTGCATTGCCTTTGTTCAATAAATCTTTATTCTTTGCTCCAAGCACACTCTGTTTCTTCCCCCTCACTCCTAAAAACAGTGAGTCGTCCTGTGTTGCAAGAGTATGTGGAGAGATGATGCCACAGCTGTGTTGAGTCGAATCGTATGGTTGATGGCGAAAATGCATTCCGAGATACCACAGCGCGAGCTCAGTCACAAGAGGCAGAAGAGCGGTGGAGGCAATAGTACAGGTTGCGCACCTGCACTCTAACCAATGAGCAAAATACTGTGTACCTAGACCATAAAAAAAGCGACTGTATTTTTTGACCGACCCCCTCAAGCTGGCTACCACCACTACCACCACTTTTATGCAAACTTTTCTTTTCCAAGGAAAAGAGAGAAGACGAAAGAAAATAAGGGCTGGCTCTGGCTTATACTACTGACTTAACATCGAGTTGGAGAACCACAAAACGCATTTTTTTTAAAAGATGTTTTTTATTGCAGTGTTTTTTGGTATGGGCAAGATGCAGCGAGTCTGACTCGAACAGGGCTTTCCCGAGATCGTACAATACCAGTCTCTAATTGCAAACCCTCCTTATTTGACTGGACCAGGTGGACCAGGATTTGTGTAAAGAAAAGAAAGCAATCACAATCTCATCTATCGCATCTCATCTCATCTCATCTCTCCCAGTTCTACCCTGATGCTGCGGCCTCCATGCCCTACAAATGGGCTTCTCAACCCCACTTCATTCCCTCCTTCTTCATTCCCTCATTCCCTCATTCCCTCGTTCACCCAGTCTTCCATTCCTTGCTCTCACCCCAAGTCATGACCGTCAGTATGTCTTCTTCCTCAAGCCAGACACACCAGCCGGCATGCTTATGAGCCTTGCAAAAGCGTACTGAAAAACCAACTGTCAACTATTATTGTTCCTTTGTTCGCTCATAGACAAGTCGGAGGAGTCTGCTATCGAGGCACTGCGTAAGAAGCTGGCAGCTGTCTCGCTCGAGCTCAGGAACACACAGCTGGACCTCATGGATGCGAGTGATGACCTCGTATCTACACAGGAGCAGCTTGAGGACACTCAGGTCAAGCTTGATGAGACTCAACTTGAGCTGCAAAACACTCAGGATGCTCTTGCCAACAGCAAGCGTGCATGCCGGGCAGCCAACCTCGACCGTATCCTCACGCGCCCACCAAAACAGCAGGAAGTCTTTGTTGTCTTGAAGTTCCGGTCACCCCAGCCATTGCCTGTCGGTGGATATCGCCTTTTTACGCTGCAGCGAAAGGCTGTTGAACGCACTGTGAACCAGTTCATTGCTGACAACCTAGAGCTCGATGCCGTTGTGATGGACGAGTTACGATTTGATCGCTCCCCGAGAGGACATAATGTCTTCCAGCATGTCAAGGATGACAAGAATGCGCCGATCAAGTCTAGTCGCCGCAACTTCATTCTCAAGGATGGCCATACAGAGAATGAGATGATTGAGTATATCACAAGTGTCTTCAACACCCATATTCAGGACTCCCTCTAGTTCATCACACCGCATAGAAGCCTTCTGTCGGGAGGACCCCTCACGGGCTAAACGTTTTACCGGGAGCTCAAACTGCATTTTCTTTCTACAGAGACATCTCTGTTTGAGCTCCCGTTCAATAAAGAGGGCGGTCAATAAGAGAGGTTTTAAAAAATAACATTGAAAGATGCTTTTTCTAACAAGAAGTTGAAGGAAATGGATGCTGAGTTAGACAAGCTGATTGCAGCGCAGTGGGCCTTCTTGCACCAGGACTGGCCTGTGGTAAAGCGTACCAGATTTCACCGCACTGACATCAAGGCCATTCAGGACATGAGGAAGGTCAAGGACTTTGTGCAGCATCGCCCCGGGATCATTCCAGTGTTCTTCTTCTTGACAGTACTGTTTGGAACAAGGTGCTACACAGGTCTTTATAGAAACGTTGAGAAAGGTATCCTCATTCTCTATATGCTGCTGCAAGGGACTACTATATCAGACATGGGTGAGTTCCTAACAAAGAGTTCCTTTCATGAGATCTTCAAGAGCTTCTTCGGCACCCACACTTCTATCCTGGATGCGAAATTAACATCTTGCTGAGCTGAGATGTGCTCAAGCATCAAGTTGAGACTTCTGTGCTCTCGATCCACCAACCCAGAGACATTCAAGCATATCACTCTGCATTTAGATGGCCATGACAGCCGCGTTGCATACCGCAATGCAGACAAGGCAAGTATGTACTCTTACAAGCTGCGCAAATCTGGCTTCCGGCCACAGGTGTGCTGCGACATGAACAGTATGGTGGTCTTTGTCTCACAGCCTGCAGAGTGCCGCGACTTCAATGATGGCACAATGCTCTCAAAAATGGCCATTGACAAGAAGATCCACCACCTTGACTGCCTTGCACTGGATGGAGGATACACGCTGCACTTGGAAGGCATAATAGCTGCAAGCGACACACTCACATCATCAAATTTTTGCTACCCAATCCGCAAGCGCAAGGGCATTGAGTTGACAGAAGAGGAGATCAGATACAATGCAGTGTTTGGCAGCTTTCGCTCTAAGGTCGAGAGTTACTTTGGAGATACAGTATGGTGCAAAACAGATTCAATGATGCGATGATTTTTGCGTTGGCACTCGCCTACAAGGAACCAATGCCTCAGCCATCGTCATATTCACCACAAATGTAGCCCATCCAATGACGAACAGGGCTGCTTGCTTTGGAACCAGAAGTATGCATACCCATTGCTGCATGACGATTGTGCCATCCGTCATCATTGAATGTAACAGGATAACCCCGAATATAGCCCCGACTCCGAAAGGACTGGGGCCCCGGCTATAGACCACCGACCGGGCCGGAACCGGTTCGTAGACATAGATAAATAGACCAGCTAGTTACCACCTAAATACAGCACGCATTCCATCCTGTCCACCTCGAGCCCCTGCCCTCAGTTGCCTAAAGCTATTACATGGTAGCAAAGGTTTTTCGATCCCCTGTCCCTCTGTCCCTGAACCACGTTTTCCCTGTACCACGATACTTTGTTAAATTTTTACCCTGATCCACCAATTAAATCCCTCCTTGATCGACCAACTGTTGTCCCTTTTTTTTTTCGTCCCT